GAGCTGTCTTGGGTTTTTCGGGCTCCAGGAGCCCAAAAATCCCGAGACAGCTGTGTGGATTGGTACCAGAAGTCATGCGACATGGTCCCCAGGCCCAATCCAAACAGTGCCCACAACTGGAAAGACCTGGGTCTTCTGAAAGACCCGGGTCTTTCCAGCTGTCAAATTAATTAGGGACAAAGCAAGGCTTTTCTGCTTTGTCCCGAATTAATTTGCTTTTACCTGAGGCATTGTTTGGATGCTCCAGGTAAAAACACGGGTGTGCATGTTTTAGGTGTTGTCTGGATGTGCCTTAAGACTGTCTTTAAAAACCCTAAACAATGGGAAGGGCCATCAAAAGCACTATTTAGACTGAAGAGTACTTTTACATTTTTGACTTTGATCTTATATGCACGGATAACATGTAGTAAAATTCAAGTCAAAACATGGCAGGGGGTTGGACCAAATGGCCCATGTGGTCTCTTCTAACTCCAATCCTATGTAACCACTAAGGAGGAGGAACTAGTGAGTGGGTTTTAGAGTCACTTGAAAATCCTGCATCCTTTTCATGCTGAAAATACTTCTGTGAGAAAAGACATGGAAAGATTGCAATGGCTATTTTATGGGAAAGCCACATGCACAGGCTATATGACAGGGGTTTAGTGAGAAAGATTTAGGCGGGATAAAAAAAAAAACATTTCAGGGCTGTTATATGTCTGTAGTTTTAAGTGCTGGCTCCTAGTTTAAATAACTGTTTCTTATCATGCATCACGTCTAAAGATTAGAATGGAAATACAGAAACTCATTCTTAGATCTTCTGCAGGAAATACTATTTAGAATGTGTGCATTGTTAAAAACAATTGTTTTGAAACAGACCTGCTCTAAGTATTTTAAAGAAGCATTTAAAACATGTCACTGATTCCTTCTACTAAGTAGTCCACTTTGCACTCTGAAATGTACACACCTCACCCTTCATATACTGTACACAGAAAGCTAAAGATTAAAAAGCAGAAGCTTAAAATTAAGAGTGGGATTGAAGACAGATAACACTGTGATTTGCCTCTTGCCTAATGTGCCTATATGAGTGGTATATATGTAGACACACATGTATTTAGACATACATACATTTAGGGTTTATCACTGACAACATGTTACACAAAGATTGAGCATCTCATTTTCAGAATTCCTGAGGGCCCTTCCAGACAGGCTCTATATCCCGGGATCTGATCCCAGGTTTTATGCTTTAAACTGGATTATATGAGTCCACACTGCCAGATAATCTGGGATAAACAGAAACCTGGGATCAGATCCTAGGATATAGGGCCTTTCCTGAAAGGGCCCTGGGATAGTGAAACGTTTGCTTTCTGAAGGTTCAATGCACACCCATTGTTTCAATGCACACTTATGTTCAGAGTATATGTGTAAGATAGATATATAGGAAACATAAATGAATTTAGTCCCATCTCCAAGATTTTGCATTATGTATGTATACACAGCTACAAGAGGTCCAAAATCTGAAAAAAAATGAAAACGAAAATACTTCATAAAGTAAACAATCTACTTGTACACCTGTTTGTATGTGGTATGTAAATGCATATAATGTGTAGACCAGTGGTTCTTAATCTGTGGGCTGTAGACCACCAGTGGGTTGTGAGGATGAAAATCTGGTCCGGGAGCCTCCTGTCTCTTTATTTTATTTTATTTATTTTATTTCTGCTCTTTTTGCCTCGCCTACCATTCCTTTTCTGATGCTGACTATAGCATATGTTCTGTATCAGAAACTAGAGCTGATGTGGTCTAGCCAACACCATTTTCTGAATTGGCACCCAAAACGGAATCTAAAGTTGAGCAAAAACTTATTCGTAACCTTTTTGGTACTAATGTTGGAGAGTGGTCCCTGGTCAAAGTGGTCCCTGACCAAGTGGTTCCTAGTCAAAATGGTCCCTGGTCAAAAAAAATTGGGAACCACTGGTGTAGATACATGGTCTCAAGTACTAAGGCTCAATCTAAAATATGTATGTCTGAACAGGAATGAGGAAAGTCTCCAATTGTGCAGCCAACATGAATGTATTTGCTAATGGCTTCATAAGAGTTATTGAACCAGGGTGCAGAATTTCTTTATGGAAGGATTTTAGGGATATAGGGGATATAGGTATGCTGTGAAATGAATGTAGTTTGACTCCACTTTAACTGCAGCAACTTAATGCTATGGGATCCTGGGAGTTGCAATTTCCCCCACTTAAACTGGCAGAGAAGGCTAAGACCTGCAGCCCCTATGATTCACTGATATAACACTGAGTTATAGCAGTTAAAGCAGGCATGGGCAAACTTAGGCCTTCCAGGTGTTTTGGACTTCAACTCCCACCATTCCTGACAGCCTCAGGCCCCTTCCTTTTCCCCGCTCAGCCACTTAAGCAGCTGAGGGAGAAAAGGAAGGGACCTGAGGCTGTCAGGAATGGTGGGAATTGAAGTCCAAAACACCTGGAGGGCCCAAGTTTGCCCATGGCTGAGTTAAAGGGATGCCAACCAAAATGGCTTCTCCAATGCAGGGCCCCCAGAGAAGAGGGGGACTGAAGGGAACACTGGGTGCAGCTTCAGACAGAAGAATGGCAGAGCCCAGTCCAGCCTCGCCAATGCCTGCTACTAGTGCTTTTCCCAAGGGGCATCTCCACTGCAGCACTCATGCAGTTTGACACCTGCCTCTTGAACCGCGAGGGCTCTGTCTTTGCTTTGGGATGGTCACACAGGAGTGGTCGTTTCCCAAGCCTTCTCTGCCAAAGAATGCGGGAGGGAGCCTCCCCAAAAACTGCAACCCCATGGATTCCATAGATAGCATGATGGAGCTCTGGCAGTTCAAGTGATGTCAGACTGCATTAATCCCAGGGTGCAGAGATGCATCTTCCTTTGGTTTCTTGAATGCACACCGTGTGTTGGCTCCAACGTGGAGCTTGGGCTTTGCTGGGGACACACCTTCGTCTCGGGAGCAAGCATCGCAGGCTTTGCCTTCTCATCTCTGCACTGCACTGCCGAATCAATAATACAGTTCGACACCCTCTGAACTGCAGCGGCTCAATGCTTTGGAATGACTGGAAGGGGGAGGGGGGGGGCTCCACGCCTTCTCTGCCAGGATTCCATAGCATCGAATCTTTTTTTACTCCTACCTCATCCAGGGTTTTATCATTTTATCTTGTGCATTTGGCCCGCCCATTGTGTTTGATTTTCCATTATGTTATTTGGCTTTATTTATTTTATTTTATACTGTATGCATTTTATTCTGATGTAATTTTTGTTGTTTTGTATTTTGTATTGTATTTTGCTGTATTGTATCGTTGGGCTTGGCCTCCGGGGAGATGGTGGCTGGGTATAAATAAAGATGATGATGATGATTATTATTATTTTACTGACACAAAAACACAGTTTGTCACAGCAAATGAGATCTATATGCTGGTGGCTCTATTATTATTATTATTATTATTATTATTATTATTATTATTATTATTATTGAGCCATCGGTTCAAGGAGTGGCAAAGTGCTTGCACCAAATGGTGCAGATCAGCATTTCTTAACCTGGGGGGGGGGGGGGGGGGGTATGAGAGGGGTCACCAAAGACCATCAGAAAACACAATATTCTCTCTTGGTCATGGGGGTTCTGTGTGGGAAGTTTTGCCCAATTCTATCGTTGGTGGGGTTCAGAATGTGCTTTGATTGTAGGTGAACTATACATCCCAGCAACTACAACTCCCAAATATTGGGGTCTATTTCCCCCCAAACTCCACCAGTGTTCACATTTGGTCATATTGAGTATTCGTGCCAAGTTTGGTCCAGATCTATCATTGTTTTGAGTCTCTGGATGTAGGCGAACTACAACTCCCACACTCAAGGTTGATGCCCACCAAACCCTTCCAGTATTTTCTATTCCTCATGGGGGTTCTGTGTGGGAAGATTTCTCAAATCTATCATTGGTGAGGTTCAGAATGCACTTTGACTGTAGGTGAACTATAAATCCCAGCAACTACAACTCCCAAATGTTGGGTTCTATTTCCCCCAAACTCCAGCAGTGTTCACATTTGGGCATATTGAGTATTCATGCCAAGTTTGGTCCAGATCCATCATTGTTTTGAGTCCACAGTGCTCTCTGGATGTAGGTGAACTACAATTCCCAAACTCAAGGTCGATGCCCACCAAACCCTTTCAGTATTTTCTACTGGTCATGGGAGTTCTGTGTGCCAAGTTTGCTTCAAATTCCATCATTGGTGGAATTCAGAATGTGCTTTGATTGTAGGCAAACTATAAATCCCAGCAACTACAACTCCCAAATGTCGGGGTCTATTTTCCCCAAACTCCAGCAGTGTTCACATTTGGGCATATTGAGTGTCCAGATCCATCATAGTTTTGAGTCCACAGAGCTCTCTGGTTGTAGGTGAACTACAACTCCCAAACTCAAGGTCGATGCCTACCAAACCCTTCCAGTATTTTCTGTTGGCCGTGGAAGTTCTGTGTGCCAAGTCTGGTTCAAATTCCATCGCTGGTGGAATTCAGAATGTGCTCTGATTGTAGGCGAACTATAAATCCCAGCAACTACAACTCCCAAATGACAAAATCAATCCCTCCCCCCAACCCCATTGCCACTCCTTGAACCGATGGCTCAATAATAATAATAATAATAATAATAATAATAATAATAATAGAGCCACCAGCATATAGATCTCATTTGCTGTGACAAACTGTGTTTTTGTGTCAGTAATTGGTATTTGTGCCAAATTTGGTCCAGTGGATGAAAATACATCCTGCATATCAGATATTTACACGACGATTCAGAACAGAAGCAAAATTACAGTTATGAAGTAGCAACGAAAATGATGGTATAGTTGGGGAGGGGAGGAAGTGGTATAGTTGGGGATGGTATCGTTGGGGAGGGGAGGAACATGAGGAAGTGTATGAAGGCGTCGCGGCATGAGGAAGGTGGAGAGCCCCGGGTGTGGATGCCCCCCTGGCTCTCCCCTGGGCGCGCCCCTTCTTACCAGCTGCTCCTTGAGGGCGGTGAGGGTGGCTTCCAGGCGCTGCTCCTTGCTCTCCTCGGGCCGCATGGCCAAGGCCGCCCGGACCCGCGCCCGCTGCTTCTCCCGCAGCACCTGCAGCTCCTGGAGGCCGGCCAAGGCGGCTTGCAGTCTCTCGCTGACCCGGCCCCGGTCCCAGCCGGACAGCCGCGGCTGCGAAGAAGGAGGAGGAGGCGGCGGCGGCGGCGGGGTCTGCCTTCCCAGCAGCATCTTCCCTCCTCCGAAGCGGCTCAAGCAGCCCGAGCCATGCTGAGGGAGGAAGGAAGGAAGGAAGGGAAGGCGCGCCCGCTCGCCTCGCCTTCGCCGAAGGGAATGGAGCCAAGCGGGGGCTGCGGCTCTCTGTCCTCCCTCCTCCTCCTCCTCCTCCAGCCCAGGGCAGACCCCGAGCCGGCAGTTCCCGCAGCCAATCGCCGCTCGCCTTCATTCATTCATGCACCCCCCCCGCCCCTTTCTCTCTCTTAGTCCCGCCCCCCTCGCCGGGAAGGTTCACCCAGAGGTCTAGGCTTCCAAAGGAGGATCAGCCTCTTTGGGGGCAAGGCGTGTGGATGTAATCCCGCGGGACTGACGTCAAAGAAGTCCCTTCCTTCCACCCCCCAGGCCCACCCCATGATGGGAGCAAGTCAGGACCCGTCGACATTGCCATTGGATTTTTTAAAAAGGATATCAGAAGCGAATTGAGAACTGGACATTCCACAGATAGATAAGCCCCATTTTTCTAGCTTCCAACAGACTTCACAACTTCTGAGGGTGCCTGCCAGAGATGCAGGTGAAACGTCAGGAGATAATGCTTCTGGAACATGGCCATACAGCCCAAAAAACTTACAACAACCCAGGATTGAGAATATACTTGGCGGGGACGAGAGATAGGGCCTTCTCGGTGGTGGCTCCTCGGCTGTGGAACACCCTTCCCTTGGACATCAGACAGGCTCCTTCCCTGTTGATATTCCACAGGAAACTAAAGACCTGGCTGTTCAAGAAGGCGTTCGAACAAGAAGTGCAATAATTGGTAATGACGACAGGAATGGAACAACGGAAAATGATACTGGATTGTGGTTTAGACGATGAGACGACGTGGAATGGCTTTTGCATTACTGATGATGTTTTGATGACAATGTTTTTGGTTAATGCTATTGATTATTTTAGATTGTGTCTTGAATTTGAACCTGTTTCTATGTTGTACACCACTGTGAGTCGCCCCCAGGCTGAGAACAGCGGTATATAAGCAAAGTAAATAAATAAATAAATAAATGCTGCAAGTCGCTTCTGGGGTGAGAGAATTGGCCATCTGCAAGGAATTTGCCCAGGGGACGCCCGGATGTGTCACCATCCTAAAGGAGGCTTCTCTCATGTCCCCGCATGGGAAGCTGGGCCTGACAGACGAGAGCCTACCCTACTCCCCGGATTTGAACCACAGACCTTCAGGTCAGCAGTTCAGTTGGCACAAGGGTTTAACCCAGTGGTTCTTAACCTGTGGACCTTAACCAATTTTCTGAATCACCACCCCAAAACGAATCTAAAGTTGACCAAAAACTGATTCATATCCCTCTTTTGGTACTAATGTTGGAGAGTGGTCCCTGGTCAGTGGTCTCTGGGCAAGTAGTCTCTAGTCAAGTGGTCCATGGTCAAAAAAATGTTGGGAACCACAGGTTTAACCCATTGTGCCACTGCGGCACAATCCACTTAAAATCCGATTTCTGCCTCCTGCAGAATTCTGGAGTTTGTAGTTTAGGGAGGAGCCTTTAACAGCGTCAATAAACTACAAACCCTAGAATTCTGCAGGAGAGCAACAAGATTTAAGGTGGATTAATTTTCTAGTATGATGAAGTAGTTGGGCATGGACTATAGATTCAAATTGCAAGATTCCTTTACTCTAAGAGCTGTTGGACAGTGGAATGGCCTGCCTTGAGAAAATGGGAACTCTCATCCTTTAAAATGTCCTCCCGGGACGGCTTTAGCTGTCTATTCCTGAATGACAAGGGGCTGGACTACATGGTCCTTGAACCATAATCCAGTTCTATGATATCATTATTTCAATTGATCTACTATGAATACATTATCTAGTCCATAATATATCAGTGTGGGAGGAGGGGTCTATTAGAACCTCAACGTTTATTTTCAAAATAAATCAAGAATATCTTAGTGCAGATGGAGAGCAGCATGGAATTAACCCCACACACTACAGAGCAAAGATGACATTATCCGTGCCAGGATCAAACAGATTGCAAGCGGGTGGGGTGTGTCATTTTCCTGCCTCTAATCTGTATTTCTGTGTGTATGAGAAGAGGTATATGTTTTTGCATGGCCTTAATATCCTAAAGACACCCAATTCTGTCTGATCTGCTGGTCCTTGCTAGTACTTGAATGAGAGAGTGCCAATTAATACCATGTGTTGTAGACTATCTTTCAGAAAAAGATAACCCACAATGGGATTTTGGCCTGCATAAATAGGAGTATAGTTTCTAGATCCAGGGAAGTTATGCTACCCCTCTATTCTGCCTTGGTCAGACCACATCTGGAATACTGTGTCCAATTCTGGGAACCACAATTGAAGGGAGATGATGACAAGCTGGACTGTGTCAGAGAGGGCAACTAAAATGATCAAGGGTCTGGAGAACAAACCCTATGAGGAGCGGCTTCAAGAGCTGAACATGGTTAGCCTGCAGAAAAGAAGGCTGAGAGGAGACATGATGAGGGCCATGTATAAATATGTGAGGGGAAGTCATACGGAGGAGAGAGCAAGCTTGTTTTCTGCTGCCCTGGAGACTAGGACGCGGAACAATGGCTTCAAACTACAAGAAAGGAGATTCCACCTGAACATGAGAAAGAACTTCCTGACTGTGAGAGCCGTTCAGCAGTGGAACTCTCTGCCCCAGAGTGTGGTGGAGACTCCTTTGGAGGCTTTTAAACAGAGGCTGGATGGCCATCGGTCAGGGGTGCTTTCAATGTGATTTTCTGTTTCTTGGTAGGGAGTTGGACTGGATGGCTCACGAGATTTTTTCCAACTCAATGATTCTATGATTCTATGAATTCCTTGCCTTAGAAAACTATGAAATTCTTTGTGAGAGTGAGATTTGACAGGCACCTTGAAGGCACATACACACACACTGAGGCTTCTGCACAGAGCAGGAACAGTGTATTTGTGTTTTGCTTCAGGTTTAAAGGCTTTTCTGAGACTGGCATTCACAAAATCATTTCACAAGGAAATGAACTGCCTGATTAATAACTGAGACCCCTAAATTAAATAGGAGGCAACTAACACCATCATTTGGTTTGTAGTGGCATTACCTGTGAATTAACTTTTGAATGAATTATCTTGAGCTCAGTATGCTTAACCTCAAGAAGAGGAGATTGAGAGATGATACAATGGCCCTCGAACTCTCTTCTGACTAATTTTATGAGATGATTTTTAGTCTGAAAGGTGATTACACTGGAGTGTGAATTACCTGTAGATTTGCAGCAGAATGTATGATCTCTCTCCATTTAGAAACCTGTGTTTAAAATATAGTATCATGAAAGCTCTTCAGGAGTAGGCCATATAGGTCCCTCTGACCTGTGTAGTCTTTTTCTGCATTTGATTTTGAAATTCTATCTTTACATAGGATTGGTTCAGATCTCTCTGAAAATCTGTTCTTTCCCAGCACCTTTCTCATTTCAAGGAGAGGTAGAGAGAGATTTGATATAAAATTTCCCACTTTAGGCACTTGTCTTGTCAACTACTGGCATGTGGTCCCTGGTCAATTGGCCCTAATGATCGATAGCCCCCTCTCCCTCCTGCAAAGGAGTTGCTGAGGACAATTTTATTCTTATTTTACACATGAATTATAGAATCATAGAGTTGGAAGATACCTTGTGGGCTGTCCAGTCCAACCCCCTGCCAAGAATCAGGAAAATCACATTGAAAGCATCCTCTACAAATGGCCATCCAGCCTCTGTTTAAAAGCCTCCAAAGAAAGAGCCTCCACCACACTCCGGGGCAGAGAGTTCCACTGCTGAACAGCTCTCACAGTCAGGAAGTTCCTCCTAATGTTCAGATGGAATCCCCTTTCTTGTAGTTTGAAGCCATTGTTCCGCGTCCTAGTCTCCAGGGCAGCAGAAAACAAGCTTGCTCCCTCCTCCCTATGACTTCCACTCACATAGTTCTACATGGCCATCATGTCTCAGCCTTCTCTTCTTCAGGCTAAACATGCCCAGCTCTTTAAGCCACTCCTCATAGGGCTTATTCTCCAGACCCTTGATTATTTTAGTCGCCCTCCTCTGGACACATTCCAGCTTGTCAATATCTTTCTTCAATTGTGGTGTCCAGAATTGGACACAGTATTCAAGGTGTGGTCTTACCAAAGCAGAATACAGGGGTAGCATGACTTCCCTGGATCTAGACACTAAACTCCTATTGATGCAGGCCAAAATCCCATTGGCTGTTTTTGCCGCCGCATCACATTATTGTCTCATGTTTACCTTGTTGTCCACACATGATTATGTCTTGATTTTCGAGTCACTGAGCAAAGAATCTTACTAAAACAAAAGGGGGTATTATTGGATGAGTATTTATAAACACCATCATTTTTGTTCCCCAAACCAACTAAAGGCACCAAAATGATTGCAGGCAGCTTCTTGAAATGCTGAAGAATAATAGCTAAGTATTTTGCAGATTCTTCCTTCTGAAATGTTGATTTGGCAGCCTTATCCAATCCCCTTTTACTCTCTCCATCTCCTAGAGGAAAGAAAGGGGAGGGAGAAAGTTTATTACATTTCCACAAAAGGAACATGTCTAGGCAAAATAAATCCAGTGAAAAGAAAAGTGATTACAGAAGGCTTCAATGGTTCTAATCTCAGGGATTTTTCATGTAAAATACAGTAAAAGCCTGCAGTGTGAATGTAGAGGGAGAGGAAGGAGGACTGGGATCTGTGATCTATGAGATTCGTATGTTTTCAGTTTGATGATTACAGCTTTCCAGATAAGCCAATATTTTAAAGGATGAATATTTTGAGAGTGGGTCAGAATGATACTCTCTTCTTAAGCTGGCAACGCATCAGTAGAACCAGCTGGATGAACTCCATTCTTACTTAACACAAGTTAATTCTAAGAAAATATTGAGCAAAGCTACAATTTAGCTTGATCATAGCTAGAGACAATAAGTTTAAGGTAAACCAGAGAGCTCTCCTCATTTTAAAGAAGGGTTTGCAAGATGTATGATTCGACCAATGAAGCATGGTTCATCATTCATATATGTATGGCAGCACATAGCATGTATGGGGTGGGAGTAGGGTGCTCTTCATTTAGTATTTCATAGGAGCAGGGGTGTTTAAGTAAGATAATAAATAATAATATAATACAACTTTATTTATATTCT